CATGAGCTAGAGTCTGGCTTTTCTGTCCACATGAGCTATAGGGATTGAGCTTTAGGTCAATGTTAGTGGGTAGGGTTACCAAGGGGCCATTCAGGGTTCAGGGATTAGGGTTTCGGGATTAAGCTTCGGGATTAAGGCTAAGGGTTTGGTAAACAAAAAGCAGTTTAAGGGTGGCCGGGCGTGCCTTTGGTAGTTTGGTGTATGCATAAATATTCCCGGATAGGACCCGTGACTGGCAACTATATGAGCTACAGTTGAAACTCCTTCACGGGGGTTCTCTAGGGGCTATTAAGGGGGATACTAGGAGTGTAGACTATAGTAGCTCATGCGGGGAACATTGACTGTAGCTCACATGGTGCTTCAGAGGATTGCAGTTTGTCAATGCAACCTGCGCCGCCATGCAGCCCAAGAACCCTTGAAAAAGTAAGGGAAGTGTTTGGGTTTGGGGCTAAGGGTTTAGGGCTGGCCATTTTTGATAATTCAAATCCTTCATGACCTTAGTGACCTTGGCACGATAATTCCTAAGGTTTAGGGCCCATAGGGTCATGCGGGATTGTTAGTGTTAACCGGAGGGCTGTGAGGGCTGACCCGGTTTGTTATTCCGTCTTATCTCGCCCACACACACACATACACTGAGCTCTGAGCGCCCTAGTCATCATCCCACTTTCGGGGGCCTGTATCTGTTCAGTCAGGCATCTGATGTGTTGTTGAGGTTTCGTCTTGTTGGGATGGGATATCTGTCATTTTATTCCATGGTTCTAGGACGTTAAAGAAAAGAGTAGTGTGTACCAGGGAAAAGCTAGGAGCATGGGCACCTTGCAGCCCCGAAGATCGTGGTGAAGCGCATCCCAGAGCCATAGTCTAACCGTTGATCTACACAGTACTTAGGAATCATGCTAGCTTAGCATCAGGAGCACGATGTTGGCCATCAAGCAGACTCATTCGGGATCAGGCGCAGACATCCAAAGTTCTAGAGCAAATGCCAAATGTACTCATGTTGTGGGCACTGTTCCAACTCATACAACCCATAGACCCATCCAAGAAACGGAGGCCATGGTTAGTTATATAGGTGTGACTTGAAGGATCATTAGGTTCCAAGTTGCAGCAATGGTTACCCTCTTTACTCCCCGACTTACATGTACCAATGAACCTTCGCACCTCTACTAGGTAGACGCTTTCCTATCAATGTGGCCTAACATGTTCCAGGGACCCTGCAAAGAGCATGAGTAAACATATAGATAGAGATAATTTGGCAAGTAACCTACCTCCAGAAGGACCTTGAACCCTGAACCCGCTACCAACTGGACCTCATGGCCTGACCCCCGAACCCTAAGCGGTCTGCAACCCAATGGTCCCCAAGATATCTACTGTAGAGTCTACAGTCTAGACCTACATCGACTGTTTAGGGTTTGAGGGAGACCATTTGGGCAACAGGCCTTGAAGTCTATCATATTCCGGACTCCCCGGGCATTAATCCCGGCAACCCAAACCTCAAAGCCTAAACCAACTGCGGCGAGATCTGCGTGTAAGCCCCCAATCCTCGACCGGTGACCCGATACAGAGATATGCAGATCCTTGTAGATGTTGGGAACCATAGGTTTTACTAGACTAGAAGAGACCACCAATCAGTCTAAATGACGAAAAGAATGCCAACACCTGAACTCTATACTCCAGACATTACATCTCCAAAAAGGCGGCACTCTCCCAACCTTTACACCCTACCCAAGCCCCCAAAGAGTAGGCAAAAGAATGGCCCAAAGCCCGTATAAAGACAAACAGCTTCAGAGCCTGTAATTCCGCATGAGCCATTGTCCAAACTCCGAGAATCCCCCTTAATAACCCTATACTACTCCCCAATCTAATCCCTTTTACAACCCCCGTTTAAGGAGTTTAGGCTACAGCTCACATACTTTCGGGGTAACCCTAAACCCTTAACCCTAAACCCTGAGGCTCGCCTCCGCCGAGCATGCGCTGCGTGGAAGTTTCTTAGCTTGACCACATGAGCCATAGTCAAAAACTCCTTCAGGGAGGTTATACAGAGGATTCTATAGGGTTATATAACATAGGGGGTTCTATAGGGTTATATAGGGGATTATAAGGTTTAGGGATTTGGATTTAAGGTTTAGGGTCTCAACTCCTTCAGGGGGTTATATAGGGTGCCCGCAAGTCCTGTGGGGGTGAGAACGCCGCTGCGTGATCGCGGTCTGAAACCGCTATGCGTTCATCATCACGTCGAAGCCTCCCTAGGAGTATACAAAGAATACTTACAATGGGCCCTAAAGTCTGTAAAAATCACCACCTAAACCCTGAATAGTACCTCCTAAACCCTGCACCTTAAACTCTGTAAATATTACCTACCTTGGGAGATTTCGAGCCCTAGGTTGTGAAGTCTTCACAACGAAGTAAGGATAGGACACTGTACCCTGGGGGAGGGCACTTGAAATCTATCTTTGGGTCTTCACCCTCAATCCTAAACCCTAGGGGCTGTAAACCTGGATGAAGAAGCCTCTGTCCTACAGCACCTAAGTGACAAGTAGGATGCCCGTTGCAACTCCGCGAAGGGAGAGTTTAGGGTTTATCCTGAAAGGAACCACTCAAGTTTCAGCCACGGCCAGCCATCAAGGTAGCATCTCCAGCAAACGAAGCTAAGACCAAATTCTAGGCAGCGCCCTAACCCTGAATCTCAAATCCAATGTCCTAAGCCTCAATTTGTAGCCCAAACCCCAAGTCTCAGCCAAAATCCTGAACGAGAACACCCCAAGCAGTAGACTTTCAAGTGCCTTGTAGAGAATAGGTGAATATAATCCTTATATATTCCTTATACCATATTCCCCTAAACCCTAAACCTTAAACCCAACACCCTATGTAATATAATTTCCGTGTTCCCAACTTACCCTCAGTAAGTGGAAGGTGAGCTTCAGTGCAGCGGTGCTGGCGACATTCCAGCCGGCCCTGTCACTTTGGCTGAGAGAAAAAAAGGGTTAGGGTTTGGGAGTTGCGCAAAATGGCTTAGGGGCTTTGGGTAGGAGGCTCTTAAGGGCCTGGGAACTATGTAAAGTGGCTACAGGTAGGTTGATTTACCTTACTCTACGTATGTACCGATATAGAAGCATGTAGAAGTATTCGGTCGAGGGAGGCGTTTCAAACAGGAGACATAACATGAGCTAAAGTCTAAACTCCAAGTACCCACCTGAATAACCACTATAACGCTCCCGTATTTTTCCGCCATATAACCCATTTTAATGAGTATAGGGATGAACATATCCTTGACAGGGATACGAGGGGTCGCTGACAATGGGCCTCCCCCACCCGGTACTGCACCCTCCCCAGTTAGCCTTTGAACATATCCTTGACAGGGGTACAAGGGGTCGCTGACAAAAGGCGTTTCAAGCCTAAAAGTCTACGCAAAGTCATGCTTGTTGTAGCCTTTGTCAGTTTCTGCCTTCTGCCGTCCAGGTCTGCTTCGGAGGAACTTTGCTGACTCAGACATTCGCCATCCACGTGGTGAGCCAATCGGCTGGCATTTTTTGGGACTGGGATTAAGTCAGCAGGGTCCACGGGAAAGATCACTAAGCCTCAAACTGTGTAGCTGCCCTCTGAGCTGCGGAGTTTCTCAGAGTTTGGGCGGGAAGGTTGCAAAGTGTGATGCTGCGATTGCATGCTATTTGCTTTCTCTTAGGTCGCCTCCTTAAGGGAACTTCTAGTGATCGTGAGCTCTCCCGGAGTGTGCACTTTGGTGCTTGCCAAAACGATCCTAAGCAATCCTTCTTCATTCAGAGGGACCTTAGCATCCCCACATATGCTTATAACGTACCTCAAGGGGCCCTATGTTGAGAAACAACGGTTGGGTAGGCCCATGCCTATCAGCTGCACATGTTTATGACTATGACCATCGCTAGTGTTATATTTCGAGTACTATATTACTATTTCTATACTACTATGACTATATTACATTTACTATATGACTATATCAAGATACTTTCCCCACAGGCCTTGCGGAGAAATTCCTGGAGTAAGGCATGGAAGAGGGGTATCGTAATATAGTATTACTAATATAATACTCGTGGTATAGTAATAGTAATATTGGAATAGTAACAGCGCAGGCAAGTGCATGAAGTTGCAGGAATCCGCTCCCCAGCCACATCTCCCCCAAGTAAGCACCGGTAGGTCTAATGTTAGTTGAGCTCTCGTCTAGGCTCCTTAATGGGGATTATATCAGGGTTTGGGGTCTGGACTCTTTAAAGGGGGTTATCTACGAGAGTCTATCGGGGAGCATGATAGGGCGTATTAAGGGGGATACTAGGAGTTCAGACTATAGCTCATTGGATATCCTCCTGGTCCTGGTCACTGTCGTGGTGCACCATCCGTCAGCGCCTTTTTGTCACCATCCGCAAGCTGCTGGGGTGCTGTTAAGGAACTTAGTCTAAGGTGCCAAAAGAGGGGTATATGGTAAATAGTTGGGTTTCCTTATTCTAGTAACTCCTGTCAAGAATTTAGCTTCAATTACTTTATTGGGGAAACCATACTCATTACTAGATATACGTATATATTTTTACATGTACGCACCCATTATGGTAACTTAATCTACGTTACTATATCGGGGGAGCCACGACAACAATACACACACACACACACGCGCACACACACACACATCAGTGTGGTAACTTAATTTCAGTTCCTTAACTGCAACCCAGTATAGCAATGGGGTTTGAGTAGTTGTAACTGGGGCTACAAGCAGAGTAGTTGTAGGTTTTAAGGTTCAGGGTTTGGGGTTAGGTAGTCATACAGCCAAGGCGTTATGGGGAATTAAATTTACTGACTGGATACTCATGAATGGCCAACCACCCACTTCAGGATGATGCAACTTTAATGTGGCACATTCTTGGGCATCTTGCTGAGAATCGGAATCCGCAACCTTACGAAACGCATGAACGTGCATGAAGGTCCAGGTAGGCCTCAGCAAAATCCAAGGCCACGACGGAGCTGTTGGCATCGTTGACATGAAGGCAGCACTGGGATGTTTGATTCGCATACGCTTGAGGGTGCTCCCGGAGGCTTTGGGTTTTGAGCACTTTGGTTAACGTGCCTCAAACAAAGGTGTTCCGCCTTTATGGTCTCAGAATTTGCTGGGTTCAGGAGTCTACCCGGTTTGGGTTGAGAACCTGAGGTTGTCAGAATTTGGAGGTCTTCGGAGAGGACGCGGGAAAACTACAAGCTGGATGTGGGGTCATGGAGACACCATGCTGCATGCTGAGGTTTTGATCTGCATCCTCAGCAAGGCTTTAGAGCCTAAGATATGTATACATATATTGACATGAGGAATGTTTCAGAAAGGTAGCACGTAAATCATAACACACAAAAAGACCTGGTTTTGTGTTTTACTAGTGTTTAACTTGGGATTGACCCTAAACCCCAAACCCCTAAACCCTAAACCCTAAACATATTCAGAATTTGCGGGCTCAAGGAAGAAGGGTAGTTTGCAGTTTAGGGCTCTCGGCTTCAACCTCCAGATTTCGGGTGCAGGGTTTCGGGTTCAGGGTTTAGGGGTTTCAGGTTCAGGGTTTAGGGGTTTCGGGTTCAGGGTTTAAGGGTTTCGGGTTCAGGGTTTAGGGGTTTCGGGTTCAGGGTTTAGTACTTCAGGGTTCAGGGGTTAGTTTCAGCCATGATCTGCGCGAGGCTGAGGGACCCCAGCAGGCGGAGTGCGAGGGCGCACAGTGTCTTGGCCTCCCAGTTCCCGCTTTGGCGGTTTAGGGTTTGGGGCTTTAGGGTTTAGGGCTTTAGGGGTTTGGGGCTTTAGGGTTTAGGGCTTTAGTGTTTAGGGGTGTAGGGCTTTAGGGTTGAGGGTTTAGCGGGGATTAGGGGTTAGGGTGTAGGGTTCCCACTAGGTTCTTGAGCCCAATTACCAACGGGCTATCATCAATGGCCCCTAATTCCATAAAGATTGTATGACATTAGGGTTACAGGTAGGGCTTAGAGTCCCAAATGCCCATAAGGATGGCCCTTAACCCCAAGATGAAGGGTACATAGGCTATTGTGGGTATTGGGGAGGTGCAGGGGGGGGCATGTTCGAGGGCATCCGCGCCCCATTCTCCCATCCCTGCGCTATCGCCTTTGTAGGCCATTGGCATATTGGAGTGCTTACCCAGACCCTCCTATGCTATTATAATCCCTTACCAAAAACCATAACAAACCCAAAAAAGAACTGCATTGAAGTCCCTGATCAGGGCTTCAAATATGAGGTGACAGCTCAAAGTCGCCGTTGGTCGTTCCTGGCAGAACCGAATGCCTTGCATGGTAGCAGGATCCCTTAGATAAGTTAAGGAATGTAATCCCCCTTAAGTAGATAGAACATGGGGTATATGGGGATCTTATTATAATATACCCAAAACCATATTGTATCTACTTAAGGGGGACTATATTCCTTCAAGAAAGGGAACTAAGCTTCCTTGAAAAGTGGCCATCACAATTTGAAACTAGATCGAGATAACGATACCTCCGGAGTTTAGGGTTTAGGGCTTAGGGCAATTCCCATCTTCAGAAATGTACTCGTATGTCGCCCTCCTGGGGCTCTCACTGCAGAACAATCACTTAATTTGACGCGGCTCATTTGCCAGGCTTCGCACTTGAGTTGTCATCCAGGTTCCGATTTGCAATGATTATTACTATTAATTACTATTATTACTACTAGTATAAGAGGTAATTGAACTGACACTTCAATTCCCACCCGCCCTCGCTGCTGAATAGCCCGAGTGCGCATGCAGCGCGGAGAGCGCTCTGCGAGATGGCCTTGGGGTATGTTGGGGCTATATAGGGATGATGGAAAAACGAATGGACATGTGGACATGACAATTATATTATATACCGATATTAATACGTATTATGTGGGGCCAGAATCCATGGTGCTTGGCCCCACCTAGCCTGTTGGGTTGGGTGGGGGGAGCCGTGCCCACCCTCCAGAGATGCTTTCGCTGCAACAATGGGGGGGGGGGTGTCCCAGAACTAGGGGTCCCATTTTGGGGTCTATACTGGGTCCCTGTATTTTAGGAAACTACCAGTCTCGCTTTAGTTCTAGATCCCAAGCCCTGAAGCGCCGGGCAGCCGTGGTTCAGTTGAGATCGCTTCCTGTAAGGTGGAAACCCCAAACCCCAGAATGCATGCTAGTTGTTGACTGAGTGGTCCTCCTGGACGTTAGGTTCCAAAATGACGGCAACGTTATCACCATCGAGAACGATAACGGCTGCTGCCAAGCTGAAATTGCAAAGATAGAATTGCAAATTGATAGCCCTAGGGCCTCAGATAGCCATAAACTGGGTAGTATTTATAGACCTTACGGCCTAAATTGAGTATTGGCTTCTAGGCAGACTGGAAAAGAGCATTATTATTACTATTCTGATCATTACTATGATTACTTTTTCTATTACTATTGCTATTACTATTACTATTACGAGTACTATTACAATTACCCTAAGTGTCCAAGGACCCAAATAACGAGGCTTTAGGGCCCAAATATCAGTAATATTATGGTATTTGGGCCCTATAAGACCCCATCATTTGGGTCCTTGGACCCTTAGGGGCAGGCGCCATAAAACAAGAGAGCCCCAAGGGAAGGCTCCCTTGGTTCTGAGGCGGGGGATGATGGCGACCTTGCAAACATTGGCCTGAAACTCTTTAAGCGCGTGCCGAAACCCAGTAAGTGTGGGGAATCTAGGGGTATAATGTAGGGTTTAGATAGCGATAATGGAAGAGAGAATGGAAGCTACTATTATGGGTTTAGAGTTTGTAGTGAATAAGGGAATGCAATATACAAGGGTTATATAGGGATTATGTTCCCGAATGCCCTACCAAGCCTCAGAGAGTAACGAGGGCCACAAGGCTAAAGCAGGTCCAACGCTGGCCAAATTCCAATGTCAGTGGTTGTGGAAAGTAGGGCTAACTCGGATGTAAAAGCAAATCCCAGTCTTCCTTCCAGCACTTTCTTTGCATGCACAGCTCTCCTAAGTTTACCAATCAGCAAGCGCTTCCAGAAGCCGAGCTTCATAGTGCCAACAAGGCGGCTTGACCAACTACGAGTACTCTGCTGAGTACTGCCCCGACCAGGACACCATGCGAAGGTTTCACTTCAATGGCGGTTGAGGGTTTTGTGGTTCAGGGTTTGGGGTGAAATTTCCACCATGAACAGCATGATTGATGATTGCAGTTCCCCCTCCTGAACAATGTACGTGTAGCGCTTTACGCTGGGGGTGCCAAATTAGTGGGAGTTGGGGGGAGGGGGGGGGGTTGAGCATTTGGGTGTCCGAAGCTGTGCTTTGTGCTTACTGGCTCTTCTTAGGAAATTGGAGGAACGGCTGCGGATCCCTATAGCCGCCCAAGTAGAATCCCCATTTATGCAGCTTTCCATCCCCTAAAGGCTATAATCAAAATTGTAATTTCCATCCATCTTGCGCTCGTGCATGGCCATGCAAGCAACAAAAACACAATTTCAATTCAGTGAAGAACTAGAAGCCTTTGTATAGGGGACCCCAAGAGAGATACCCCTCATTTTCCGGAAACCCTAAGCCCTGTGTATCCCTGGATAATCCCAGGTTCCATTTGATTGTCCACTTGCTTTCCACTCAATTCTCCATTGTTGGGGAGAAGGGTAATGTCCTATATCGTGAACCCGAAGCCCTGATACCTAAACATTGAGTACTACTTTCTGATTTTCTTTTCCATTATCCCAGAACCCTAAGTAGTAGTAGTTTTCATGTCTTTTCAGTATCCCTATGTGTTTAGGGTTCAGGGTTTACCCATATACCCTAAACCCTAAAGCCCTAAACCCTAAAGCCCTAAAATCCTTAACCTCAAACCCTGGGGATGATCCCTGTACCTTGGATACTGCCCCCACTCAGTAACAGTTGGATAATAGTTAGAATATGGTTATATATAGCCCTTAATGGGAGCCCTAATATAGACTGTTACTGGGGGGCAGTACCCAACCCTAAACCCAAAACCCTAAACCCTAAACCCTAAACCCTATACCCTAAACCCTAAACCCTATACCCTAAACCCTAAACCCTAAACCCAACCTGTATCTACTAACAGCCAGCAAGTCGCAGGATCACCTGGTGGTCAACCTCGTGAAGCCCTACCAAGTACCTGGGTCCTTGTAGGGTTGAAGGGTTTCGGGTTTAGGGTTTTAGGATTGTAGTGTTTTAGGATTTTAGGTTTTTTAGGGTGATTAGGTTTTAGGGTTGTAGGGTTAGGGTTTATAGAATTTAGGGTTTAGGGTTACGGAGGCTTTGTGGGCTTTGGGGGCTTCGGATTCGGTTGTTCTAAAGGTCGTTTTAAAAGGAGGGACCATCGGGAACACACGTCCTCAAAGTGGGTTCCTAACCAAAAAGGGAACAAAAAGGGAACCTATCTTATGGCCATCACAAGTATCGTGAACAACTACCTTCTGCCGTAGGAATCTATGCAGGACTATAATGTAGGGGTAGCGGAAACTGCCATAAACTATTCAAGGGTTTAGGGTTGGTTTACTGTCAATATTTAGGGTTACCAAGGGACCACGAAGGGAGGACATTACATTAAGTTTAGTATAGTCCTTAATACCTCCTAGCAGGAACTCAGGTCTACTCTTATTCCATGGGGAATATTGAACTGACTGTAGCTCATATGTTCTTAATCTCTTTTCTGCCAAGACGTGAAACGGTGATGTGGAAGTATAACCTCACTGTTTGGTTTTCCTACTACTTAGCATAAACCCGACAAGAAATACGCAATTACAAAAAACTAGTCCCCCCCCCCATATACCCTATATTCTACCTACGTAAGGGGGACCATAGCATTGTCACAATGAGGAGCCAAGCAACTTTGTGGCACGTAGAGCTCACACGATGGAAGTGTACTACTACAGTATGCATCTATGCCACACCCGTGAATGTGCATATGTTTGTGCTGATCTGGTTTGCTGTTAAGGAAGTTAAGTTAAGCTATCATAGTATGGTTATATAGTAAATGGTAGGGTTTCCTTTTTCTAGTAATTTTCATAAATTCAGTTTCTTAACAGAAACCCAGTCATTTTTGTGTATGCACGCCTGCAGGGTTAGGCTTGAGAGTTTGACTATGGGTCCCTACTTGAGCGTCCTCGTAACAGTCACTGAACAGTTAGCGGGGGTTTCGGGTTCAGGTTTTGTTGCCCCAACCCTTCCAATAAGGGTCCTGTTTTTGTCATATGAGTCATGGGGTCTGTGTTCTAGGGTTTGGGGTGACTAGAATCTCTGATTACCGATCCTGCTGCACTTGCACCCTGGGGTTTCTTCATCCGCTCAAAAACATTGACGACAAATCATTGTGTGTTTGGGATAAGATTACAACATTAGAACTATTAATAATAGCACCATCGCACTGGTGGTTGGTAAGGAATAATGGAGTATAATCCCTATAGAATCTCTATATAACATATTGCCTTAGGGTGTGGTGTTTAGGATGTAGGGGTAAGGGTTAAGGGTTTAGAGCCTTGAACCTTGAATCAAAGCTTAGGTTTAAACCCCTGCGTCCTGGCACAATGGTGGTTTAGGGTTTAGGGTTCATGGGGTTCAGAGGTTTTAGGGTTGAGGGCTTAGGGTTCATAGGTTTTAGGATCCAGGGTTTAGGTTTTAGGGTTTGTAGGTTTTAGGGTTAAAGGGTCTTTGGTTTAAGGGTTTTAAGGTTTAGGTTTTAGGGTTCACGGTGTAGGGTTCCAAAGGGTTGCCGTAGGGTTGTAACAGTGCCTACCCTAAACCCTAAAATCTCTAAACCCCCAAACCCTAAACCCCTAAAACCCTAAACCCCTAAACACCCAGGTGAGGATGGTGCTGGACCGCCAGGCCTGCCCCGTTGCTGGCGAGGCTCCGCGAAGTTTGGGGGTTTTATATCTGATTGTATATAAGGATAGTGGAAAAGAAAACGGAAACTACTAAAATATTATAGGGTATATAATGGGGTTATTTTGGGAGAATGGAAAGGATAATGGAAACTACTATAGTTCGAAGGTTGGGTTAGGGCTTAGGGTTTAGGGCTTACAGTAGGGTGTAGGGTTCAGGGCTGAGGATTTAGGGTTTAGGATTTAGGGTTTGGGGTTGAGGGTTTTGGGTTTGGGGTTGAGGGTTTACTTACATAATTGCCAAGATGATGGTTCTAAATTCCTTTCACATTTCTGGTAGAGAGTACTTCATGAACTTCGAAATGATATTGGTACTTTTCTACCTATTGGGGAGCTGGGGTTTGGAGTGATTTAGGGTTGCCGTGGAGTTTCTCAAAGTTACTAGTGCCCATAGAGAATGTCAGCGGGGCCGCCAGAAGCACACTTTGAAACTCCCGCGCTGCTCGCTCAAGGGAAGAATTCCCAAATTAGGGCTGCTTCTGAGGAGATAGTATGTTGGGGGTCTATATTGGGGTCCCCTCATTTTAGGAAGCCACCATAGTATCCTTCGGGCCGCAGATAGCCGAACGTAGATGTTATTTATAGACCAAGTTTTAGGAATCATCTGAGGCCCCAGGGCATTAAGACGCGTAGAATTCCCCCCTAACAATGCACCTCAGCCGAAAACATTAAATGTGGGGTAGTATGTAATAGAGGGGAGGAGGGGAGAGTTATAAGAAGGCGAGAGGAGTACTTGGGACTTCTAAGCTTGGTCGTCACAGCCGGTGCGGCCGACGTGTTGCGTTTGTTGCACATCAATACCTGGATCTCACAAACAGATGAAATACAGGCCCCATAGGGCCTTTAGAATAGGCTTGTATGTTGGAGTTATATTGGGATAACGGAAAATAAAATGGAAACTACTCTAGGGTTATATCCCGCACCCATAAAGAAAAGCCCACATGGCCATGCTTTGGCGTAGCAGGGTGAAGCTTGGATACCGCCCCCACTCAGCTTTGTCATACAGAACCCTTCCCATTCTAGGCTGTTACTGGGCGGGGGCAGCACCCAATCCACCTACCTAGTCAGCCCAAGACGCCCTAAACCCTGAACCTCTATATGGGGGTTTCCCAACATTAGGGGTTCCTTTTTGGGGGTCCCCATAATAAGGATTATAGTATTTTGGGGTCTATATCAGGGTCCCCCTATTTCGGTAAACTACCATATAAACCCAGCTTCAATTTTCCATTTTTCCATTTGATCTTCCATATTGCGGTAATGTCCTGATTTGAGGACCCACGGCTTCCATTTCAGGGTCCAGTTGCTTTGCCACTTCGTTCTCCACTGTTGCACCAATAACATTTCTGCAAACACCCCTCAACCCTTAACCCCTAACCCTAAACCCTACACCCTAAACCCTTAGCCCTAAGCCCTTAACCCTAAACATCCCTAAGCCTTGAACCCTAAACCCTTAACCCCAAACCCTAAATTCCATGTTCATTTCCACTATCCCTATATAACCCCTATATAACCTATTCTAACCCCTCAAAATGTATTATCTGGGTAGGCCCCTAGGATATTTGATATTTTCCCTAATGGCTTTAATGAGGGACCCCATATCCTAAACCCTAAACCCTAAACCCTAAACCAGGGGCCAACCCAGTTATCTAATGAAGTTGGGCAGGTGTAAGGATGAGGCTGCAAGCGGCGACCTCTATGAAGACCTCGTCTCGCGAGCGGGGGATGCTCATGGGAGACCGCTAGTGGGCTTAGGGTTTAGGATTTAGGGCTTAGGGTTTAGGGCTTAGAGGTTAGGGTTTAGGGCTTAGGGTTTAGGGCTTAGAGGTTAGGACTTAGGGCTTAGAGGTTAGGGTTTAGGGCTTAGGAGACCCTTCTTGGTCTAAGCTTCAGGGATTGGTTTGTTGTATTTGCTTTGACAGTGCCCCCTTCACACCAAGTTGTTTTTTTGGTTCTTCTACTCAAGGTCTGATTTGGGAGTTTGTGTTTCCAGTTCACGCTTTGAAGGCTGAGCTTTGTGTTGTCAGTGGGCTCCCAAACCCTAAACCCTAAACCCGAAGACTATTGCACAGACTTCCAGCCTGCATAGCTTTACAAAGGCTGCCAGCTTCACTGGATGCATTAAAGTCCTGCAATATAGGGACCTAAATAATTACCAATATTATGGTTCCATATTCCTTCTATAACTATGGTCTATGGTACCTCAAATGGACCTCAACATGATATTGGTAATTATTCAGGCCCCTCTAGTAGATGCGCAGAGTGCGATTTCAACGCGAAAGCTTCGCCCTGACCTCGATGAGCTTGAATTCCCACGTTCGCGAGTGTTCCGGCGCGTGCTTCACTTCGGCATAGTGCGTGCGCCTACAGTATGAAGTGGCAGGCAATGTCCAGCCCCTTCTCCTGTCAGAAACTACCTGTGTAGTTCTCAAAGTACCAGCCGTGTAATTATATGGGGTTCCCAAAATTAGGAGAATACCCTCTGAGGGGTCCCTGTAAGAAGGAATATAGCATATTCGGGTCTGTATCAGGGTCCCCCTCCTCAGGAGAACTATCATAGGAGAACTACCATGTACGTTTGTATTTTGGCATGGTTCCGGGGTGAAAACTTAACTGCTGAAGCCTTGAATTCATGTGGAGGTTTCCATAAAGAGGGCATAGGCCCCAGTACATGTTTATTTATCTATCTGCCTATGTCACTATGTATATGGAAACTCCCAAGAAGGAGGCCCTGTGTTTTGGAAACACCCATTTTGAGACTTTGGTGCACAACGGACTTGCTAAGCTAAGATGCTTGTGGAAGTCCAGTCTCCACTTCGCATGGGCAAAAGGCTTCCAGCTGGTTCGCACGGGGAACAGGTTGTAGGAGCCACATTCATCTGAGTTAGGGACTTTTATAGCAGATCTCAGGTGGACCCCGCACCCAGTGAAAGTGATTATGAGGGATATTCGTGATTAAGTTAGGGTCCTCTTAGATTCCTATTATACCACTATTACGGGGTGGGGGGTTCTCCTACGGGAGGTCGTGGAAAGGCAAGTACTGTACAGCAAGTTACGGAATGGCAAAGAGTATAGAAGCGACCGAATTATGTAGGAAATCAGGTTTGGGCTGATTGAAGGACTGGGGGAAGCGATTTGGAGTTTAAGATTGTTGTTGGGGCCAGTCTTGAGGGTTACATGGGTCTAGTATGGGGATCCATTCCACTACTCCCGATTAACCAGTAAGGATATTTTTAGCCATCGGTTCTTGTTAGGGGCCCCCATAATGTGTGGACCCTAAACCCCAAACCCTTACATTCATAGGGTAGCGAGGCTATGCCCTTATCTGGAGAAAAGTCATAGACTCTCCTCATTGCAAAGTATCTGAGGGCACAAACCGCCTGATGCTCCCTTATAATGCCCCTGTTTACATGCTAATTCAAACCCTCATAGCCATAAACACCTGCCTTACATGCCCGCGTGCTAGTAGATGTTCAGCAATTTTGTCTCGACATCCTGCGTCCTAAAGAACCCCAAATATGATGGAGTCCCAATGCACATCCTCTTCGAGAAAAGGGGTTAGGTCCTAAACCCTAAATAGTAGTTTCCATGTTCCTTTCCATTAGTCCTATATAGCCCCTATATACTATAGTAGTTTCCGGGTAGCAATCGAGTGTCTAGATTAACACCGCGATCAAAAACCAGCCCGCCAGCTCCGTAATGAAATAGCCCACCCCAGTTTGGGGAGCCCTCAACCTTTAAATCTCAACCCCCGAACTTTAAACCCTGGGCCCCATACCCTAAATCCGAGGTTAAAAGGTCGTCTACCACTACTACTACTACTACTACTACTACTATTACTACTACTACTACTATTACTCCTAGAGCATCCTAGTTTGGAACCATATCTCAGCCACTGCACCTTGGTGCCCTTGCTATACAAGCTCACCGGGGGTATTTCTCAAAGTAATTTAGGGTGAATCCCAACTAAGGGCATATAAGGACGCCGCGCCTTAATCTCCATGTACTTCCTTATATCCCTTGGCCGTGGCCCCTATCTTGAGAAACTCTTAGCTGAAATCAGATATCCGATGCTTACTGCCAAGATTATGGGAATCCATGCTAGGCATCCTCCCCCCTAACGGAGCTGCACAAAAATGCAACTACGGAGGGCTTTGCAAGAAGAGCAGTGCTTGGCGAATCCTTCAGTTAGTCGGGGTATATGGGAATTTCCCAAAATTAGGGATACCTTTATGGGGGTCTCTATAATAAGGACCATAATATTGGGGTCGATATTGGGATCCCCTAATTTTGGGAACTACCATATAGGGGGTTATGTAGGGATTATCTAGGGGATGATATAGGATCCTTAGGGGCTATATCTCAGGGGCTGTTGTGTCTTCCAAACAAGAACTCAACCCCTCTCACAAGCATGTGCAGGTCCATGGCGGGCCGCCCGAACTGATGCGTCTTCAGAAGAGACCACTTGATGATAGGGCCTGAAGATTTGTGCAGGATATGGCCCCTAAACCCTAAACCCCGCCACAGGCTCTTCAGGATGAATTGGCTCTTCTGAAAAGAGGTTTTAGATTTTAGGGTTTAGGGTTTAGGGTCATCATGCAGTTGCAGTAGCTTCAGGCGACTATAGGGGACAAGTTGCAAGAAGACTTCCGGCTTCCCAAAAAAGGGAGATCATCTGGGTCCTCGTTACGTTACGGATGGGTTTGGATGCTGGCTCAAGGGCCTTGTCATCCTAGCTCCTAATGAAGTCTATCTCTCCTAAACGACCTGGCTTTCCTTTTTGTATGCTCGGATCCCTAGGGCAAAGGGACTCTACTGGGAACCCCAAATAGGGAACCCCAAGAATATAGCAGGAATATAATGGAATATAAGGACCCTGGTAGGTATATTCCTATTATATACCCATTATATTCTTGGGGTTCCCTATTTGGGGTTCCCAGTAGAGCCCCTTTATAGGGCCACCGCGAA